TTTTTGAATAAAAATTTAAAAAAAAAGCAAGGTAATACCCGAGGGGCCTGGAGACATGACTGATGAACAAAAAAAATGTTATTTTAGAGCCAGGAATGTCTGCATTGTTATTCTGGACCCTATTTTGAAATTGTCATATTTTTTAATTTTCGTGAAATTGGCCAAATTGCAAATTTCTGACCACGTTATTGGGTAGTTGAAATCGGTAAATGGACAGTTTCTTGTACTCAATTGACAGAAAAAATGGAGTTCTAAAGAAATAGCTATGAGTTTGGTTGACTGGAACAATGGAAATTAGCCGAAAATAGGGCTCAATTGGGTGAAATCACCGATTCGTAAATATCGCCAAGGTTGCTAATTTCGTTGAGCATAATTCCATCAGATTTTGTTCTTTTAGTGTCATTACAATCGGGAAAAGATTCTCTATGATTTCACAAGAAAAAAAAAATTATTTTTTCGGAAATTTTGCGACACCAGGAGACACCTCAGGATTTGGGGTTGCGACAGTCAAGGGGTTAAAGATAACATTTTTCTATAGGTAATAATACAAAAAAAAGATTCCAATCAGTAGTTTCCAAGATATAGAGGTATGAAAGTGACTCTCAATGACCAGGTGGTGGCAACATCCACAACTTCTGTAAAGGTCACATACCTGGAGTTTACCTGGAGAGGATTTCAGGGGTCAACGCCCCCGCGGTCCGGTCTGAGACCAGGCCCTATGGTGGATCTAGGGTCTGATCAACCAGGCTGTTACTGTTGGCCGCACACAAGCTCACGTACGAACCACAGCCCGGTTGGTCAGGTACTGACTCTAGGTGCCTGTCCAGTGCCTTCTTTAAGATAGCCAGGGGTCTATTGGTAATCCCCCTTATGTATGCTGGGAGGCAGTTGAACAGTCTTGGGTCCTGGACACTCATTGTATTGTCTCTCAGTGTACTCGTGGCACCCCTGCTTTTCATTGAGGAATTGTTGCATCTCCTGCCGAGTCTTTTACTTTCATATGAAGTGATTTTTGTGTGCAAGTTTGGTACCAATCCCTCCAGGACCTTCCAAGTGTATATTATCATGTATCTCTCTCGCCTGCATTCGAGGGAATATAGATCAAGGACCTTCAACCATTCCCAGTAGTTTAGGTGCCTTATCGCACTTACGTGTGCCATGAAAGTTCTTTGTACACTTTCCAGGTCTGCAATGTCACCAGCCTTGAAGGGAGTCGTTAGTGTACAGCAGTATTCCAGCCTAGAGATCACAAGCGATTTGAAGAGAATCATCATGGACTTGGCATCCCTAGTAAATTACAGGAAAATATCTTTTATGGAATTTCAGTTTTGATGGAAAATCTACCCTGGATGCACATGGTACAGTATTTTGCAAAGTTGAAAGTGTCAGTGTTATTTATATCACAATTTTTGGGGAAGTTACAGATGCAGACTTATGTTCATGGCATCCCATCTTCAGTCTTTACACTGCCATATAAATTGTAAATGTCTTCCATAGTTGCAGTACACAATGCCAAGTCAAGCTATTCATCTTTGTGAAAATATATTTTATAATTTTTGTGCAAGTTGTTATTGTTTAATTGAAGATTATAGCCTCTTGTTTTCGCTGTTGATTATAGCAAGAAATTTGTTTCCTTTTATGAGCTTATATATGATTATTATACAGTATTATCTTTTATCATAGTCTGCTACTTAATTTTTTTTTTCAGGTGCAGACACAAGAATAATGCCACACATTGCAGTTTTTGACCAGTATTCTATGTTTTGAATTTTTTTTTACCATTTAATGTATATATTTGAAAACTTGCAAGTACTTGTGTCCCTTACTTTATGCAGTGCATTCACTCCAGGCTTTTGGTTGTTGTACTGAGCTCAGTTAGACCATCACTAGTCAGTTTTTGTATAATAGGTATATACAGCACACTTTGTGAACTGCATCAATTATGCTTGGCTTTGTGTATCTCACATATGGAATTATTATTGTGAACAGCGATTTTGCATAAAACAAAAACGCATAAAGTGAGGGGGAAACTTGTCTTGTGTAGTACAAATTTCTCACGGCTGTGTGATCTTCTGGTTGTTTGTAATCACTCCTGATTCTATCTGATTCTTGATACTTTAAGGTTTATTCACTTTGTAAGATTCATTTGTATTTTGCCTGCTTTTCCTGCATTAATTTATATCATTTATTTATCACTCCATTTTCTCCTTATACATGTATTTAAGTTTTTTTATAGGCCTAGTACTGTCATGTCATTTTGATGTTTTTCTATTCACAAAACTTCTTCAGCATTGGCAGTTATATCACTTCAGTATTTATTTCATCATTTATTTTATAATTACTGTTATTACCTAATTAGACAACCAATTTCATACAGAAGAGAATCTTCATGCAGGTGACAATGTATGTCTCTGTTTAAGTTTTTTACAAAATATTGAATAAGTTTTAGAAGAGTTCATATTACTTGGTGAATACAACAATTTGTTAAAATTAAAGTCTCACAAAACTCATTTTAAGGAATAGATATTGTAACACTAGTAAGTGTGTCTAAGAGACTTTACAGAAAATAACAGTTAATAGTGCATTGTACTTGTGTATGTGCCCAGTTATAGAAACTGGTTCACAAGCTCTTGGGAGGCCTGGCTAGGACCTGACCATGGGTGCTATGACCCCTGACATCATTTCTAGGTGATCTGTATGTGGTATTTTAAATATTCTTTACAGTAAATGAATTATGGGATATGATTTGTATAAGGCAAATACTATCTGATGCTTTTTATCTGCAGTTGGGCCCGCTGAAAGAAAATTAAAGAGAAGCTTTTAAATTTTCAGTCTGACAAAATCTAGATTAACAATGCATAAGAAAGTTCATAGAGAACAAAAACTATTTAAGTGTTCCATGTGTTTAAAAGAATTTAAACACAGATCAAAATTTACAGTACATATGAAGGTTCATATGAACGAGAAACATCATAAATGTTCAGTGTGTGAAAAAGGTTTTACTCAAAAATCAAATCTAACACAACATATGAAAGTTCATACAGGAGAGAAACCACATAAGTGTTCAGGATGTTTAAAAAGTTTTACTCAAAAAACATCTCTTAGAAGACATATGAGAGTTCATACTGGAGAGAAACCATACAGATGTTCAGAGTGCCTCAAAGACTTTTCACATAAATCTTCTCTAACACAACATTTGCGAAATCATGCAGGGGTGAAACCCTATAACTGTTCTGGGTGTCTGAAAACGTTCACTGAGAAAAAAAATCTACTCCAACATATGAGAGTTCATACAGGAGAGAAACCATACAAGTGTTCAGAATGTCTAAAAGATTTTTTATTAAAAGCAACCTTAAGAAAACACATGCTAATTCATACGGGAGAAAAACCCTTTCAGTGTTCAGTGTGCTTAAAAGACTTTTTTATAAAAGCACATCTAACACAACATATGAGAGTTCATACAGGAGAGAAACCATTCAAGTGTTCAGAGTGTTTAAAAGACTTTTCTCTCAAAGCATCTTTAATAAAGCACTTGAGAGTTCATACAAAAGAGAAACCATACAAGTGTTCAGAATGTGTAAAAGAATTTTCTTACCAATCATGTCTAATACAACATATGAGATTTCATACAGGAGAGAAACCATATCAGTGTTCATTGTGTATAAAAGATTTTTCTGGAAAGTCATCTCTAATGCAACACATGAGAATTCATACTGGAGAAAAACCATATAAGTGTTCTGAGTGTCCAAAAAAATTTTCTGTAAAATCATCTCAGCTAGAGCACATGAGAGTACATACAGGAGAGAAGCCACATAAATGTTCAGAATGTTTTAAAGGTTTTATAAGAAAATCACAATTAGCTCAACACATGAGAGGTCATACAGGAGAGAAACCTTACAAGTGTTTAGAGTGTTTAAAAAACTTTACATATAGATCATCTCTAATATTACACATGAGAATTCACACAGGTGAGAAACCATATAAATGTTCAGAGTGCTTAAAAGGCTTTTCAGAAAAAATCATCTTTAAGGAAACATGTGAGAGTTCACACATAAAAGAAAATGTTTTAGTGTTGTGTCTAAAATTCTTCAAGCTAGAAACTTAATCAAACTTAACTCATGATTCCAAATGATAAATGTAACTTGAGTGTACTATCACCGTAATGGGACTAGAGGAAACCCTTAAAGTGGTCTGGAATTTACCCATTCCCATGGTTCTAATTTCTAAAATGAAAATGCAGTTTTAGACTGTATTTGCAGAAACCTACAGAATGTTGTCATACATGGCACTGTTACTGTTCTGCTCCTACTAGTACAAAGAACATTCTTTACTTATCCCTCACAATTGTTGTCTGGATAACTGTTCTCACTAGTCCTCACTTCAGTGGGCCTGAATATGACCCTGAGTGATATATAAAATAAAAAGTAGTTAATTATTTCTCTAGTCATGTTTTGATAAGACTTTGATACTGTCATTGCATATCTTACAACCTCACAGGATGATACCCTTTCCACTGTTTTAACATACCCAACTTTGTTTGTGTGTAGAACTGTTGTCTTCCCTCGCACAGTCTTTCTGATACATTTTTTTTTTTAAGAAATGTACAGTTGTTTGATACCTATTAGAAGTCTGTGACTTACATGTCCTCAGTGTTGAATGCATGTGCATCTGATGCAAGGTTGGCATCACTTTTCCATCAGTGTGGCCACTTTCCAGTAGTGCTTAAAGTGTGTCATAGGTTGACAGTTATGGACCTCATGCCAGATTCTTTGTAGTATTGAAATTACTAGCATTTCTGATATTTAATCAAGTTCTGTCAGTTAATACTAGTATGCCCTAACAGTACCACAGAAATTTATAATGACCTGTTCTATAAGCATTTCCCACCTGGACTTAAAACGAGTTGTGCTATTCTTACCTGTGAATAGACTCTTACCACTGCATCCTGTAATTGTAAACCAACAGTTACTGGTGCCATAGCACTCCAGTGGTTTCCAACATTTGCATGTGTGTTATTACACATCACTATGTATAACATCTCATGTCAGTAGCTGCTGCTTCTTCCTTCACTATAGAGGACAGCTGCTGAAAAAGACTATCTTGTGTTACATGTTATCAGAAAAAAAAAATCACTTCTGGTTTGATAAATGTTAACTGTAATAAAGAATATTTCATCTTAAGTTCCAATGTAACTGTTTCATTTATTACCAGTAAACCCAGTTAAATCATCAAAGCAAGGATGAATGGAAAACTCTAAAAACACATGTACAGTAGGGTCCCGCTTTACAGCGTTCAGCTAATACTGCAATTTCAAATTATGACCAAAATTTGCTATACAGCGAGCGGTCTTTCAAATACAGCTCGCCCCACTTGGTTTATTTACATTCTCCATGAGTACATATCTCTATTATGTCTGGAAATTTTCCAAAATTTCAAGTGTTTTAAAGTTATTGCATATTTTATATGTACCTGTACCTAGATATACTTACACACTGTGCTGGCATGCAGGTACACTTTAAAATCACTGAAAGTGTCTCTACTCCTGACACCATATTAATAATAATACATGTAATCTCTTGGGCACATTAACCCTTTGAGGGTTTCTGTCGTATTAGTACGGCTTACGACCCAGGGTTTTTGACGTACTGGTACGCCTAAATTCTAGCGCCCTCAAATCTAGTGGAAGAAAGCTGGTAGGCATACATATGAAAGAATGGATCTGTGTGGTCAGTGTGTGCAGTATAAAAAAAATCCTGCAGCACACAATGCATAATGAGAAAAAAAAAACTGACCGTGTTTTTGGAATAAAATAGCGACTTTGCACTGTATTTTCGTATGGTATTTATTGTTGTATTCTAGTTTTCTTGGTCTCATTTTATAGAATGGAAGACATATTACAGAAATTGAGATGATTTTGACTGGTTTTACAATGAAAAGTACCTTGAAATTGAGCTCAAAGTAGCCGAAATGTTCGATTTTTACCAAAGTTCAAAAGTAAACAAATCATGCCAAGCATCCAATACACGTCAACTGGTGAGTCTAATATTCTTTCACAAGTGCACTGATATTATTTATACCATTTCTACACTAATGCAGCAGTCTGCGTAACAGTAAATCTTCTATTTTTGTAAGAATAAAAATTGGAAAGTGGAAAGCCAAAGAAATATAAGAGGGGCCTGGGGATGTGACTAACGAACAGAGGAAATGTTATTTTAGTGCCAGGAATGTCTTTCTTGTTTATTCTGGACCCTATTCAGAAATTGGCATCTTTTGAAATTTGTGTGAAATTGGCAAAATTGCTAAATTCTGACCACTGTATTGGATAGTTGAAATCAGTAAATGGGTAGTTTCTTGTACTCATTCAATAGAAAAAATGGAGATTCTAGAGAATAGTTATGAATTTTGTCAACTAGTACACTGGAATTTGCTGAAAATGCAGGGCTCAAAGTGGCCAAAATCGCCGATGCATTAACTTCGCGCGAAGAGCATAATTTCCGTAAGTTTTTCCATCAATTCATACATTTGGTGTCAATTATATCAGGAAAAGATTCTCTATCCTTTTCACACAGAAACAAATAATTTTTTTTTAAATTTGGCCACCCTGAGAACAAGTCTTGGAGAGGGCCTGTCGACCCTCAAAGGTTAACCCTTTGACTGTCGGTGGTCATAAATATACTTCCATGGGAGATACCTTTTGACGTACTAACGCATAAATCTAGGCGGCTCATATCAACGGGAAAGGCTGGTAGGCCTACACCGAGAAGAATGGGTCTCAGTGTCGGTTGTGCACCCTGGTGAAAAAAAATCGGGACTCAGCGGTGCATTGTGGAACGCCTTGTTGTACCATTTTCACCATGCCTCGAGGTAGAAGTCCTCACTCCTCGGCGGATTGGAGTCTTTTGTTCCCAAGTGAATAGCTCAAACGAGAAGATAGTGTCAGTGAAAGTGAATTCCCTGGTTTTTTTGAAGCGGTGTGACCGGAGAAATATTCCCAGGAAAACATAATTTAGTTGATGAAAACCCAGATGTCCCACACCTTCCACCTCATTTGCCTTGGCCGGCTCGTTCCATGTTTCTCCTGTACCAGGACGAAAGGAGGAAACTATTTGCCCGTGTACAAGCCTCAGATGTGAGCCAGTGCAAGTGATAGGTGATAGTGATTTCAAGGTTACAGAAAAGCAGTTCTAGTTGTGACAGTGAGGGTGGAATATCCCCCAGTGAAGCGGCAGTATATACACGTCCGCATGCTCTGGTATTGTGCCATATGCTCTTCCATGTGAAGGAGTACATCTCGGAGCACATTCCGTGGCCCTACACCACGAACTAGAGTTGAAGATGACGATTTGTTACGATGGTATAACTGATGTGAGTGAGGCAGCAGGCGGTTGTGGTAATAGTGAGTGTGGCATGAGACATGTGAACCAGCAGCGGGCCACGCTATCTACCCCGCTGCTGACTCAGCATACAACTACAACCAGCCTGCGCCCACCCCACACTCCGTACAACCCACAACCACAACCTCACAACCACAACCACAACCTGCACAACACAACCACATTACAAACTCCAGAATGCACCCGCTGACCGCATCTGTGATTGGCAGCAAGAGGACGATTATTTGTTCCCAATCCCCATGACTTTGAGTGGAGACGAAAAGTGGAATACTGCCATCATGTACACTTGGACAATCCCACTGAACTGGAATGCTAACAGTTGTCTCGATGAACCCCTGATGGACATTATTGACGGGAAAGCAATACAAACTATGAGTACACCATTGCAAACACTATTCTGACACCAAGATCATGGCCTACCCCAGTGGAATGACACAACTGTGGCAAGAGATGTATCTGGTTCTTAGCCAATAATGCTTATGCCACATGTGATAAGCATAGTGTCTACACATACTGGGTCGACAGCCGCCTGATTTCAACCCCTGCTACTCAGGACATAATACCCATGGAATAGATTGTGTTACTGTTGACGTCTGTTACACTTTCAGACAAAACCCATGCCTGACAGAAGCAACAGGTTATATAAGATCAACGTGTGTTTAATGTACCTGAAACAAAAATGCTGTATGTATATTTATCCCTTCAGGAAGCTTGTTACTGATGAGTCTTTGATTTTGTTCCAAAGGAAGTACTCATTCAAGCAGTATATACAACAAGAAGGAAACGCTGTGGTATATAGTTATTAGGTCTGTGTGATAGCAAAACTGGTCTGGTTTTGATATAATTGTGTACACTGGTGTAAAACAAAGGAAGATACCAGGAATTTACCTGGGTATCTCTTGGTGATGTTGTTAGAACAATGATGAGCCATATCTTGGTAAGGGGCTATTTTAAAATACTTGACAACTGGTACACAAGCCCCTAACTCAGTGATTTTCCTTGCGAGTGAACATGACAGATGTGTGTGGCAGACAATGCGTAGAAAATCCGTAAACATATGCCTAGGTTCGATGCTGGCAGTCATAGAGTGAAGTGCAGGTGTTTGCTGCCAATGACATCATGGCATTTCGTGGCATGAACAACGTGATGTCAACTGCTGACATCAGTTTCACCGACACGAAATGGTAGACACTGGCAAGCAGAATAGAGAGACCAATGAACCATTGTAAAACCCTGCAGCTGTGATGGATAAAAACCTCATATGTGCTTAGTGGACAAATGTGACATGCAGATTGGGTTTGCAGACTGTGATCGCAAGAGTTATCAGTGGTATATAAAACTGTTTTTCCATCTTCGTTGACATTTCCATGCTGAAGCTATAATAGCAATAAGTTGAAGACCATGACCAAACCAAATATGGGTAATTTGTTTGTCAGTCATCAGACAAATAATATTCAAGTACCAAGAAACAACACCTGCAATAGATCCAGCGCCCCCGAACTTAATCAACACATTCCTCTCGTCTGAGGCCCGATGATCACTACCCCATACCACAGGGGGGGGGGCCTCTACTACTGCCAAGAAAAAATGCTCCAGAAGAGGTGTTTTGTCTGTGGACAATACCACAAAACGCCCACAAAAATGCAGACCAACTCGTTTTATGTGTGCAGGAGTGGTAAGACACCTTTGAGCTTATACCCATGTTTTTTTTTATTCAAAGAATTCCACAAGCTGCAACCCTTCTAGAAAATTCCAGTGATTGTTTACATATGTATATATATTATAAAAACAATCGTAATACACATTTGTTTTAAATTGTTTGTTTGTGTAAACAAGTTTTTAGCATCATTTATAATGAACGAGTGTTTTTGCTATAATTGTGTTACATTCAACGAGTGTATATGTGAACATTGACACAATGAATTTGGTCTCACAGGCCACAAAAGTTATGTGAAAAAATAAAATAGTGAAAACCGAGCAAGAAACCATTCGAATACAAGTAAATCAAGATTTACGCGGGTGACCGCAGTCGCCGCTGTTGCCGCTCGCAGATCAATTTCAGCAAACTTCAAGACTCTATATCTCGGTAAGTACTCCATGGTAACAATTTTTTTTGGACTTAAACAATCAGAACAAAAATCTTACATTTTACCCATAAGAAAAAAAAATTTTTTTTTTCGATATTTTGCGACGCCAGGAGACACTTCAGGATTGGTCCCTTCGACAGTCAAAGGGTTTAAATGTTATATACAGTATTATGCTAATACAGTGAACCTTTACTTGCAAGTTTTAACCATTAGATGACCTTGCACGCAACTGGATTTTCTCATATTTCAGTCAATTTTCCTCATTTAAAAAATTGAAATGCAATTAAATTCGTTCCAGTGAATTCTGTACTTCAATAATTACCCCTAATATCAACTCCAAATCTAATAGTATCTATCACAATTCATCTAATATGACATAACTAAAACAATATAAAATAACATAGAAACCAGATAGTTCTCTAGAATGAGTAAAATATGCTATACATTAGTGTATCGTCGCAGGTGAGAGTTTTGTCTGGAGACCCGGACACAATACTTCTTGAAATAATTTCGCTATATCATCTATTATGGCTATTTATCATCACAATTCTTCTAATGTTGACAAAACAAACAATATAAATAACTAGAAACCTGATATATACTCTAGATGAATAAAATACAAGTGGACCACCGGCATACCGTTTGCATCACATAACGTTAAATCTGCATACCGAAACATTTTATCGCTAAGATATTAACC